TGGTAGAAGTAAGGTCTACCTGTTTGGTTCAGCCCCCAATGTGGCCTGTGCAGAAAACTGACCTGAAACTGGGCCCAAAAATGTAAGCCCTTCTAATATCTACCAAATTTATTACCATCCCAGAGAGTCTCACTTATTGCCTGGGAAGTACTTTGTGTGGTCACTGAGGTGAAGGCCTTCTTCCATATCATGAGGAAAAAGCTCCTCCACACCTAAGATTTACTAAAGCTCTGTGTCAACTGAGTTTTGAGAAAACTTTGCTCACTTTAAACATCCTGGTACACTAATAATCCCTGAAAAACAGCATGTGGGTGGACTTGGTGGTCAGAGAAGAGGTTGTATGCAAGGAAAATAGCAGCACTTGTACATGGGTGGCCTTGGACATCAGTGCCACACTTGTTGCACAGAATGCAAAGGGTGTTCATATACTTGGTCTCCCTTAACCCTCACAATATCCCAAAGCAGAAAGCTCAGAAGTTATTATCTGCAACTCACTGATGTAGAAACAAAACTCAGAGAGGTTTCGGAACTAGTCAAAAGTCACACCACTCGTAAGTGACAGAACACAGACTGGAATGATTTTGTTCTGACTCTGAGACCTGTGTATAGCAAAGAACACTATAGAACACTATACCACACTGCTGAATTTAATCAAAAGTGTTACACCAACCACTGCAATGGATTGAATTCAGTAAGAAAATTACCTTATTAAAAGCAAGAAGATTTTTTAAACCTGAATTTAATTAGTTTGAATAGGACTATCCTGAAGCTTTGTTAGCATAGGAAAACAAATTTTTAGGAAAACATCAGTTTTTATAAAAAGCAAAGACTAATTTGGTCATTTCAATTAAATTACCAGTTAGTTATATCAGAAAAAAGTTTAAAACTGGGAAAAGGTACAGGCAAGGTAGTTAATGAAGTTGTGAAATCAGATCAACAATCATCACATTTTCTTTTTCCACTTTTCAAATAATGATGTTGGCATAGTGTAAGAAAATTAACTCTGGACTTCTAGAATTTGACAATAATGTTTCTCAGTACACCCTGTACCATTCATTTAGCTCTGCATGTTTCTACCCAAGGCTGAATTATAAATCCTAATTTTACTACTCTCCTCTCTACCTCCTGTGCTAGGAGATTAATTTGGATAATATATATGATATTCATTTTTTTATTCATTCATTCCATATACTTTTAAGCACTTGGTAGGTGACACATACCACATGATTCTTATAATAAAAATCTAATGGCATTGCCTCAGGAGAGAAAACCTGACTCTATATAACTGTGCTTGAACCAGAGAGGATTTGGTTTTTCTTTCTAGCTCTAGGCAAAATCTCAGGGAATACTAAAACCAAGATATAATTGGGAGCATGGGCTATGTTAATTAGAAAAAAATTTCTGGCTGAGTGATGGCAGGATTTTATTATGGTTAAGATACTGGGACCAAAAACACTGGAAACAACCCAAATGTCCTCCTAGGGATGCATGGATAAGCACGCTATGGTACATCCATAGAATGAAGTCGTACTTGGCAATAAAAAGACCTGAACTACTGATTCCTACAATAACAAGGATGAATCTCAGTGACCTATGCTAAGTGAAAGGAGACAGACTCAAAGGGCTAAAGGAGAGAGGTTGACAATCAAGCAAAGAAGCATGAGGGAATTTGCAGAGGTGATGAAACTATTCTGTATTTTGAGTGTGATAGTGGTTACGTGATATGTGTTAAAGCTCAGAACTGTGCACCAAAAAGGATGACTTTTACTGTGTATAAATTATACCTAGAAATGACATTTGGTTCCAGAATTTGATTTGTTAGATTCAAGTAAAATTTCACCTTTGCTACTTCTTATTTGTATAAGAATTAGCAAATTATTTAGCTTATTCAGGCTTATTTTAGAGTCATTGTTTATAACATAAATATTGTAATAATATTTACATCACTGAGTTGTCATGAATATTAGGTGAAGTAATCTACGTGAATTGCCTAACACAATGCCTGACATAGATTAACTTTCAGCAAACAAAAAAAATCATACATTCTTTTTTTTTTTTTTTTCTGAGATGGAGTTTCGCTCTTGTTACCCAGGCTGGAGTGCAATGGCCCGATCTCGGCTCACCACAACCTCTGCCTCCTGGGTTCAGGCAATTCTCCTGCCTTAGCCTCCTGAGTAGCTGGGATTACAGGCACACACCACTGTGCCCAGCTAATTTTTTGTATTTTTAGTAGAGACAGGGTTTCACCATGTTGACCAGGATGGTCTCGATCTCTTGACCTCATGATCCACCCGCCTTGGCCTCCCAAAGTGCTGGGATTACAGGCTTGAGCCACCGCACCCGGCCCAAAAATCATACATTCTTGCAAGAACAGCAACATATTTACCATTGACACTTCTTTTGTTATGCTAACATAACAACACCTTCTAGACTTCCCTCACATCCAGAAAGAAAATTCATGTCAAGGGCTTCCTGATATGCCACCCAGGGTCCATATGGCTACTGTGGGCACACCATCACCCTGTCATCTCATTCTTCTACTTTTGCCGCTCACTGGTGCTTAGTTTAGCTGGTTCCATGACAAGGTAATGGCAGCCACACACTGCGCTTATCAAGACCAGAAAGACAGAGATGACAGCATGCAATTCAATCATCTTTCACTGCTGATTTATTCATGATGCCTTTTTCTATTTCTTTTCTCATCCAAAATATCAAAGAATGTCATTTACAAACAAAAATAAGTAATGCGTGGAATAATATATGCAACTCCTTCTTTGTAATTTATTTCAAAGCACTACATTATTAAGTCCTAAAAACTCTAAACAGCATTATTTGGTAGTGCAGAATTCAGTTATTTTGGATTAAATTAAAAAATTAAAATTACTTTCTAAAACAATGAACAGTGCCCAAATTCTCTACATGGTAGAGTTATTCATTTCGGATGGAATTATCATTTTTTTTTTCCTGAAAGATTGCTTTTTTAATTGTATTTTTCTCATGTCGATGTTATTACTTTGCATTCTCTGAGAACTTAACAAAGGACAGTGATGGTAAGACACAGCAAAATAACCTAGAAATATGCTAGAGTCATCCTCTAGAAGTCATAAACCCTAATGCATAAGTTTACTTCTGTAACTTGCTTAATGATATCCAAACACAAAAGAAACACATTAATATTATACGTCTTGGTTTTATGATAAAATGCAAATGATTCTGGAGAGAACTCATTCTTTTTTTTTTTTTGAGACGGAGTTTCGCTCTTGTTACCCAGGCTGGAGTGCAATGGCGCAATCTCGGCTCACTGCAACCTCTGCCTCCTGGGTTCAGGCAATTCTCCTGCCTCAGCCTCCCGAGTAGCTGGGATTACAGGCACGCGCCACCATGCCCAGCTAATTTGAGAACTCATTCTTATCAGTCATTTACATTCTAGTGAGAACAAGTTCCCAAGATGATTATTGCTGGGGACGTCATGGGGAAAAGGAACAAACAAGGGTTCTGGGTAACTGTAGGGGACAACACATAGATATCAACGTGCTTTGGTTGCCACACATCTCAATTTCACTTCAATCGAATGTCCAGATCCTCTGTTCTTGGAAGAACATAGTTTTCTGGCAAAGTGTTTTTATAGCTTGCAATTTTTCTTTCTGTGTTCATACATTCTACTCTACCTATGAAGAAGCAGAGTAATATTTCCTCTGCATCTTGAATCTAGATGAGAAGGCTGACTTGTGACTGAAAGAGTGTGGTGAAAGTAATATTTGGCACTCCTGAGGCCAGACCAGAAAAAGACTGACAGACCAAGCTTCCTTTCTTCTGGAAGTCAGGTATCAAGTAAGGCCTAGGCCACTCTGAAAGAGAGCACCTCGGTCTCACATGGACAGACCAGATGTAGAAGCAGCAAGGACCACACCTGTGAACGAATACTAGTAAGTCACTCTAGTTGATCCCATGTGGAACAGAAGAATCATGTGGCTAAACCTATTGAATGGAAAGAATCAACAGTAAATTTTTGTGGCTTTCAGCCATTATGTTTGGAGTGGCATGTTATGCAGCAACATATAACTGAAACATTTTCCTTCCCCACTCATTTCACGTGTCACTTCCAACAAGGATTAAAAATAAATTAAACAAACATGCATGCCAATAATTAAGAATGCATATGGGCTATGTGTAGTGGCTCACGCCTGTAATCCCAGCACTTCGGGAGGCTGAGGTGGGTGGATTACTAGGTCAAGAGATTGAGGCCATCTTGGCCAACATGGTGAAATCCTGTCTCTGCTAAAAATACAAAAATTAGCTAGGCGTGGTGGTGTGCACCTGTAGTTCCAGCTACTCAGGAGGCTGAGGCAGGAGAATCACTTGAAGCCGAGAGGCAGAGGTTGCAGTAAGCCAAGATCATGCCACTGCACTCCAGCCTGGTGACAGAGCGAGACTCCATCTCAAAAAAAAAAAAAAAAAAGAGATGCATACACATTTATAAGTAATACTTTTTATTGTCAAGACCCAAGTAACTATTTTTTTCAATTTAATCTTTCAGTTTAAATGAAACCATCATAATTCATAACTTTTATATTAAGAAATCAGCCTCTACATTTATTAGGTTTGGAAGATCCCCTTGCTATGTGGCATCTCATTCTTCTAATATAAGCTGAAGGCAGCAATAAAACCAGAAATGCATGTAATTGAAAAGTACATTCATCTATTCATTCATGTTGTTTTCTCTGATCCACATTTTAAAAAATTTATGAGCTCATTTGGAAAATGTGAAAGAAAAAAAATCAATAGAGTAACCATGATTTATAAAGGTGAAACCATCATGTCATGAATATTTCATCAGGGAAATATGGAAACCATCCGATTTTATCTAAGTATATTCCTCAATCTGATGTGATTAATTCATAAATGAACTGCCATCCATTATTATGTAATAATGCCATTATGTAATAATGCCATCATTATTACAGATGATCACTGGATATATAGGAACAGCACAAGGACTACAGAACAAACACCTGTTTCAGGAAGCTTTCGAGAGTTCTGGAAATAATCTGGGACAAATGTGATTAGAAGTTGTTGGTAAGGAAAGGACAACAAGAAGAGACCATGACTTTCTGCATGTCTAGCAGAGGAACATCAAAGTGAGTCAAATTTTATAGACTGCAGGAGAATTAGGCCAAACTCTCCTTCTTTTTCCTAGGGATGTATCAGCTGCTTTTCTCAAGCCTTAAGTGGGGGAACCCAGTCACCCATGTTTGTCCTGACTGTAGCTCAAATTTCTCCAGGTGTTCAATTCTTTTCAAGTTCCTCCACTCAGTTCTGAGAGCTCTGGAGAAATTAATGTATGAAAGCAAAAGGCATTTTGTAGAGAAGAAATAAGCCAACCACATTTGAGAGGCTCATAGTCAAGCAATTAATGATACAACCAGTGGCACAATAAACACCCATCGATCCCCAGTAGAGCAGGAGGCAGCACAAAGAACAGGGTAAATTAGAAGCAGATCAATGGAGAAGCATATTCAATAAAGAACTCAGGCAGAATGCTGCCAAGGCCAGTTAGCACTGACGTTTCAAATGGCATAGTCATCAGGGGCTGGATTGTCCAAGCTGTGCAGTGCCCTCAATAGAATTTTCAAAGGTGGCCCATGGTGATGTGATTTCATTCTCAAGCTATTGATTTCATTGAAGAAATCTGAAACTTTCCAAGAGTCATCAGCAAGGACATAGAAGGGTCAGAACTTAATTTAGCAGCAGGGGCACTCACTGAGTCTAACATGTTTCCTTGCAGAGGAAATTAATCATGGACTTGAAGGCAGTCTTTTCATGGCTCTGAAAAGCAAAGTCTGTATAGGTGTTAGCGCCTCCATTAGTGAACTCCTCAACCAGGAGCTGAAAGCAGTCTACATGCATTGACGTCAGATCAGCACAAAGCTGCAAGGAGTGTGGGGAAATAGACTGAATTACAGTGAAAGAGACAAAGGACATAATGAAGAAGTGCAACAGCAGGGAAGAAGCACATATATGATATGTACTAGCCTTCTGAATGCTAATTGGCTGTCGTTTGTTGGAGAGGAGACTCGGTGGTTTTCATATCTAAGAGTCTGATCCCAGGACACAGTATGCACATTCAAGAGTCAGATGTGGATAACAGAGACAATTAAAAAACTTCCATGTGCAAAAATGTTCCATAGTCTTTCACTTACTATGAGGTCAGATGATATTCATTATATATATTATTATGTAAACAATTTTAAGTATTTGAATAAACTCTACATGGGGAAAGTGGAGTCTGATTTATCCACTCCTCTATCCCTAGTAACTAGCAAGTAGGTCCTCAATAAGTGTTTACTAAAAAATGAAATAAATGAATCAAGCTCTTGAAAGTCTTTCAGAAATAGAAGGCATGCTCATATTTTTACTTATTTAGTTTTTTCCTTTCATTGCAGTAACGAATATATTCTTGTATACTAGAATGAATTCACTTAAAGCCAGAGTGGTGCAGAAATAAATAAATAGATAAAAATACAGCAAAGCAAAACAGAAAACAATAACCTGGGCAGATAGGGATTTATGTTCTTATTTCTGGAGTTTCACTACATTTCTAGGCCTTGAGAATTTTACTCCTCCTCCGCACAAAAGCTAGAAAAACAGGTAAGAGGAATGCTATTATGTTCCAACTGCTTTCCAGAGACAATATTCTGTAATTCCATTGAGAAGGTATATTTTTAGAGCATAATATGGGACTTATTAACTTCATGAGATGAAAGAATCTTAATGTGTGGGGACTAAGGAATAATTTCAATTCAGAAAATAGAACAGAAAGAAAATATTTTAAAGTATCTGGTCTAAAACCATACCTTCAGGAAGATAAATGATGAAAATATACAGGGTTATTAGTGTTTTCATCTTCAATATTTCTAGTTATGTCTATTTATTTACTGAAGAGTAAATCTAGGATTAGTTGGTATGAATTTGAAAGCTTCAATGGTATCCTTTTTCTGCATGTTTAGGAGGCTCTCTCTCTCTGTCTTTCACACACATACACAGGCATGCACACACACATGTGCCCACACATGCACTTGCACACACACACAAACTGCAACGAAAATAACCTCAGGGCCAACCTTCAAACAATAGAGAAATTGAAAGCAGGACATTCTCTCTGAGATGTCTTCCGGCCCAGTTGCTAGCCAACAGGACCAAAGAATGACATCTTCCATTCTCTCAAGATCTGTTTATTCAGCAATTGTTATTCTAATTTTATTCTAATGTAAAGGATTTGTGAATTAAAGATGCATCTTTCTGTGTGTTAATAATCTCCTGTTTCTGTTATACACATGCCATTCTATAATTTTCCATACTGCAATCTGCTAACTGGAAGATAACTTGAAGCCAACGTTATGAATAAATCCAAAATGGACTAAATAAAAACAAAACCTAATTCATTTAACATGCCCTATTTCCCCACCCTTTCATCCTTCCATCAATATTTGGCTGCTAAAATGGCTCAAATTGTAAACCTGGATGAAAAGTGTGCGAAACGTTTTTCAAAAAAAGATATTGGCAGTTTGGAGTAAGTCATTTTAGATTTATGGTCTGGGTAACATTTGATTCACCTATCATAAAGGAAAGATCCATGCTAGTTTTCTCCCTTCATTAGTAAAAGCCATTTTGAGGTCTCCAGGAGGTAAATTATTTTTAGAATTAGTTTTTATTTTATTAGTCAGGTTGCAGAGTGTCAAAATTGCACTGAAGCCAGTGGCACTTCACTGAGCTTATTAATATTGATACGATCACTCTGTGTTCTGTGCTGAGTGACATTGCTAACCTTCTGGGAAGATGAGCATTCCTTTTAAAGAGACCACACAATTTTTTTTTAATAGATCTGCAAATCTTCTGATATTTGTGAAAAAGAGCAAGTAGAATGTCTGCATCAATGCTCTGTGTTTCAATTCATTCAGCCAATGTTACCTAAGCACCAAATTTGGATTAACACAAGATGCAAGATGCTGAGACTGAAAAAGAACTCCAAAATGTGACGCTTCCCTTCAAGAAGCTCAGCCTATCCAGTAAAGATTTCTCTAGCACCTACATTATGTGCCAGGCCCTGTGGGGGTGGTGGGCTGCAAACGATTTTAAATGGCTATAGTATTGTCTCTAGTCAAGTAACTTACTAAATAATAGAGGGGATGAAAGAATTATTGCACTGTAAACAGCACCAAAGAACCAGTGAAGTGAGAGATTATGTCCATAGGGAGTTAGCTGATAACTTCATATACTACAGATGATGATACTGAACAGGGCTTGGAAGGATGGGTGGATTCTAAAAGACGGATTTCAGTAGCACAGGCAGGGAGTAAAGGATGCAGATGTTCAGAGGAAATACTTTGAGCGAAGACAGGCAAATCAAACTGGAATGCACTTAGAGAATGGCAAGTAGCTCTGTTTAAACAGACTAGGGATATAGTGGGTAAAAGGGGAAATTCGGTTGAGGCCATGTTGCGGAAGTGGGAAGGGCAGCTGAAGTGGTCTAAACTGAATTTCCACAGAGTGAATATTTAGCAAGTTTCCAAGCCAGGAATCAAATCTGTTGCTTATATAAAAAATTTTAAATACGAGTTTGGGTTAATCCCTCCAAAGGTTGGCAAACATATTTGGAATAATATTTGCTAAAAAATTCTGAGTTTTGTTTTAGGGTAACTGGAAACAAGATAGTCATTTCTGGTAAAACCTGTGAATCAAATAGTGCGCAGTAATTATGGAAGGTGAGAGTCAACATTCTACTTACCATAGAGGATAAGAGGGAATTTTGCAATCTATATAAAACATGTAAACAGAAATTTCTTAAAATGTAACTTCTTTCAGTGATATCCCCAATGATTGCTGACAGCACATTTTATATCTACAACCAAGATTCAGAAAGAAAGTTCTGAAAACTTCCTTCATGGCATGGCGGAAGAAAATCTGATCACTCTGTACTGACTTGCTCAGGAATGCAGTCTGGACCCAAACAAGGGCTTAAGAAACCTAGTCTCTAATTATAGCTTTTCCAATCACTGTGTTAAACACAAAATGCATGCTAACAACTACAAGTTTAGAAAATAGAATAAAACAATTCAAGTATTCAGAATTGGCATTACAGGAATTAACTGAACTGAATTTGATATAACAATTTCTCCCTGGTTCAACCTTGGGAGATTGTACATTTCCAGAAATGTATTCCTTTCTTCTGGGTCTTCTAGTTTGTGTGCACTGAGGTATTCACAACAGTCTCTGAGGATTTTTATTTTTTTGCTTTTCTGTGTAATTTGTGGTAATGTTGCCTTTGTCATTTCTGTTTGGCATGATTGGGATCTTCTCTCCTTGTTCTTTATTAGTCTAGCTGGTGGTCTATTGATCTTATATATTGTTTTAGAATCCAACTGTATTAGTTTGTTTTCAAGCTTCTAATAAAGACATACCTAAGACTGGGTAATTTATAAAGGAAAGAGGTTTAATTGACTCACAGTTCTGCAGGGTGGTGAGGCCTCAGGAAACTTACAATCATGGTGGAAAGAGAAGCAAACATGTTCTTCTTCACATGGCGGCAGCAAGGAGAAGTGCTGAGCAGAAGGGAAAAATCCCCTTATAAAACCGTCAGATCTCATGAGAAAACTCTAAGAAGAACAGCAGGATGTGGGTCACCAACTTTGTTTTGTTGATCTATTGTATGAATTTTCACATCTTGATTTCATTCAGTTCTGCTGTGATTTTCCTTTTTTCCTTTCGTCTGCTAGCTTTGAGATTGGTTTACTCTTATTTTTCTAATTCCCATAAGTGTGATGTTAGGTTGTTATTTGAGATGTTTCTGACTTTTTGATATAGTTGTTCAGGGCTATAGACTTTCCTCTTAACATTGCTTTAGCTGTGTCCCAGTGATTCTTGAATGTTGTACCTTTTTGTCATTTGTTCAAAAGAATTTCTTGATTTCTGCCTTAGTTTCATTCTTTACCCAAAAGCCACTCAAAAGTAGGTTGTTTAATTTCCGTGTAATTGTAATGTTTTGAGAGATGTTCTTGGTAACAATTTCTATTTTTACTACATGGTGGTCCAAAAGTGTGGTTGGTATATATATTTTTTAATTTGTTGAGAATTACTTAATGACAGAGCATATGGTTGATCTTAGATTATGTGCCATGTGCAAATGAGAAGAATTATATTCTGTTGCAGAGTGGTGTTCTGTTGATGTCCATTGGGTTTATTTGGTCAAGTGTTTTTAGTTACTATTAGTTTTCTGCCTCAATGATCTGACACTATCAGTGGGGTGCTGAAGTCTTTCACTATTATTATGTGGTTATTCACTTCTCTTCATAAGTGTCTAAAAACTTGTTTTATGAATCTTAGTGCTTCATTGTTTTGTGCATATATATTTAGGATAGTTAATTCTTCTTGTTGAATTGAATCCTTTATTATTACGTAATGCCCTTATTTGTTCTTTTTGATCATTGTTGGTTTAAAGTCTGTTTTATCTGAAATAAGAATAGCAACCCCTGAGCTCTTTTGTTTTCCATTTTCATGATAGATCTATCACTATCCGTTTAGTTTAGCCTATTGGTGTCATTGCATGTGAGATCTAGCTCTTAAAGACAACATTCAGTGGAGTCTTTCTTGCTTCTTTATTCAACCTGCCACTCTATGTCTTTTAAGTGGGGCATTTAGCTTATTTATGTTAAAGGTTAATATTGATATATCAGGATTTTATCCTATCATCTTGTTAGCTGCTTGTCATATAGACTTAACTGTATGGTTGCTTCAATGAGCTATGTATTTAAGTACATAGTGCGTAAAGTATGTTTTTGTGGTGGCAGGTAATGGTCTTTTGTTTCCATGTGTAGCACTCCCTTAAGGTTCTCTTGTAAGGCAAGTGTGGTGGTAATGAATTCCCTTAGCCTTTGCTTGCCTGAAAAGAATTTTATCTCTCCTTTGTTATGAAGCTGAGTTTGGCTGGAAAAGAAATTCTTGGCTGAAAGTTCTTTTCTTTAAGGATGCTGAATGGAGGTCTCTGATATCTTCCAGCTTTCAAGGTTTCTGCTGAAATGTTCACTCTTAGCCTGATAAGGTTTCCATTTGTACATGACCTGGCCTTTCTCTCTAGCTGCCTTTAATATTTTTTCTTTCACATTGACCTTGGCAAATCTTACAACTATTTGTCTTGGAGATGGTAGTCTTATATAGGGTTTCACTGGGGTTCTCTGGATTTCCTAAATTTGCAGGTTGACCACTCCAGCAATGTTGGGGAATGAAGACAATATCCTCAAATTATGTTTTCCAAGTTACTTTATTTCTCTTCTTCCCTTTCTGGGTTGCCAATGAGTTGTAGGTTTGTTCTCTTCACATAATCCCACATTTCTCAGAGGTTTTGTTCATTAAAAAAAAACCTTTTTTTAAAAAATTATTTTTGTCTAATTGAGTTGATTCAAAGACCTGGTTTGAGTTCTGAGATGCTTTCCTCACCTCAGTCTGTTCTGTAGCGAATATTCTAATTTTGTTATGAAATTCCTGTCATGCATTTTTCAGCTCTAAATCAGTTTGTTTCTTTCTTAAAAGAGCTATTTTGTCTTTCACCTGTTGTATTGTTTTACTGGATTCCTTAGATTTCTGGATCATAATGATCCTGTGGCCATCCAGATTCTGAATTCTGTATCTGCCATTTCAGCCTGGTTAGGAACCACTGGTAGGACAGTACTGTGGTTACTCTCAGGTAAGGGAACACTGTGGCTTTTAGAATAATCAGAGTTCTTGTTCTGTTTGTTTGTTTATCTGTGTGCTCTAATGTTCCTTTAATCTTTGAAATTGCTATTTTGGGATAAAGCTTTTTGCTTTTGAATTCTTTGATGCCCTTGAGGGCTTGACTGTAATATACATTGGGTTTGCTCAACTGGCTTTGTTTCTGGATGATTTCAAGGGGTGAGCACTCAGCTCAGCACTCCTGGGCTTTGTGCTCTCACCCTGGAGGGCTAGGATCAGGCCTGTAGCTTTTTCCTCTGGCCCCTCAAGTTTAAGCATCTGTTGTGCTGGAGGTGTTGAGGTGTTCCCTGTCTGCTGTCAACAACATTTCAATGAGGAATCTGGCAAAATCACTTCAGTGGAGAGGAGGTGGGTGGTGGACTTAGCCCGGGTGACCACTGCTAAGTCCCCCACATTTGTGTGTGTGCACCTGTGGCAGGGAGTGGCAGTTTCCCCACTGGAAAAACAGTGGGGGAGACTGTGGGTGAGTGGGTACTGGCAGGAGACGGCTGTAGGTGGGTGCTTGCTAGTCGGGACCCACCTCCAGAAGCTCTCCAACTGTTAGATGGGGCTTGCCAGTGAAAGAACTATTGTGGTGGTTGATGGCAAGCCACTTGGCTGGTCAGCTGAGCCTGTGCTGCAAGTGGGTGGGACCAGGCAGGGACTGGGGATGGGCTGGCAGACAGGAGGGTACTCATGTCAGACTGGCTGCATCCCATAGCCCTGCTATGTCCAGGTCTGACAGCCAAGAAAGGCTAAAGCTTCCTACAGGATCATGGTGAGCCTTTGAGGATGGGCACTTATGGCTGTGCTCCACTGAAGCAGTTCCCATGCCAAACCCTGTAGGCTGCATGCTGGCTGGAGTTGTGTGTCTTTCTACTTTCCAGAAAGTTCTCACTAACAGCACAAATGTCCATGGTGATCGTGGGTCTCGTGCAACTAGTTCCAGAGGTTCATGTGAGAGTGGGCCACTCCACCCCTGATTCATTTATACCTTCCCCAGGAGCTGCAGGGGGCCAGAAATGTGTCCTGGTGCTGGGCAACCCCATGCTTCCTTCCCTTTCAGTCCAGGTTCTGCATCCTCCTCTGTCCAATCTCAATGCCTTTTTTCCAAAAGATCTGTTCACAGTGTGCCATTTTACTTGATGGTGTGGTCTCTCAGTGAAAGAAGCTCTTCATGGCTATCTCGGTTCAAATAGCTTTTTTTGTCTTTCTTAGTTGGACACTCAGAGAAATTTTTTCACCACAAAAGTCAATTCCACTTTCCCAAGTTCACGAGAAAGCAGGGACAACAAATCAAAAAATAATTCTATTTGTAATATGCAGATTATGTCTTTGGAGGCATACCTACAAGGTCAGTTTCTCACTTCCAAGACGCTAGACCAGACAGACTCGCAGAAAGAAAACAAGTGGGAAGGGCAAGCAAAATACATGAGTGAAAGGTTGGGGTGGGCTAGTGAGACAATTACAGAGGAACAAGGGCCACAGAGGAAGAAGCTCAAGGCTATTTCCAGTGGCCACTCTTCTAACCTCCCCTCACCAATTCATTATCTGCCTTTCACAGACCTGGGCACTAAAAAGTACTCTGAACAGAGGATTCTGAATGTGTGCAACTTGTGTTTGGATGGAGACAGCATATAGTCCCTGGTGGGAGTGAACTGAATCCATGTGGGAAATATCTTGGGAGCAAGGACAGAAGTGGATGACTATCACCATCACCACATTCCTCCAGAAGCTTAGGAAGAAAAGAGCTCTGAAAGGAGCTATGTGGTTATAAGTGTTCATTTTGTTAAACAAAAGACTGATGAGATTAAGGTGTTGACACTAATATGTTAACAGAGGTTATCTCTAGAAGAAGAGGTAATTATAGATTTAAATAATACTTTTATTCATTGTCTTAATTTTAAGTACATTAACATTCATTATTTGTACAAGGGGTAAATACAGTTTGTGTTTGTGGTTTTTTTAAGTGTTGTCAATCATGTTTAACTTTCAGTTTCCTTTTAATATCATACTCCGTGATGGATCACATTATTCATATCCAAACTACCCTGTGATATCCCTGACAGTGGGAAGATTATATCTCTCATCCATGATAAATTTAAGAGCAGCCACATGACTTGCTTTAACCAATGAAATGTAGGCAGAAATGATTTATGTCACCTCAGTGAAAAAGCTTTGAGGACAGGTTTGATTCCCTTTGAGTCCTCTTTCAGTGGTGTCACCTCAGTGATACACTATTGTAGAGGTTTAATGAAGGACTTGGTTCTGGTGAATGTCATATAAAACACCAACAAAGAGTTGGAGGGTGCTAAGTGCTTCAAATGGCAGATGGGAGGACTTCTAGTTCAAGGAAGCCAGGAGACTTTCCTTTTGCTGTAGATTAGAGTGATGGCTCACGATGTCCTTTATCCTTTTGCTTCTGGAAAAGCAGAAAAAGACTGCCGTACCAGCCTAGACTCCATGGTGACCTCCAATGGCTAGGAGGAGTGAATGAGAAATAATCCAAAAATATTGCAAACCACAGAAATTGTGGGTTTTCTGCCAGTGCAGTATAATCTGTCTATACTGACGGATACATTTCTCTTTATGTTCCTCCACTGGCTTCCTTGCTGAAATTTTCAGAGCTCTGTCTTCTAATTCAGTCTCTATATTATTGCTTTCTCTTTTACAATAAACCCTGGAAGTATGTAAGTAGTAAGCTTCCTGAAGCAAAGAAAGGCAAAGGATGGAAGCTTATAATTTTTAATCAATAAAATTTAATTAAGTTACTCATCTAACTCATACTCTGGAAAGAGATGGAAATATGAATAAAACAGTCCCTGATTATTGGTCTGCTAGGGCAGCCATCACAAAGTACCACAGACTGGGTGGCTTAAAGAGCAAAAATGTATTTTCTCTTGGTTCTGGAGGCCAGAAGTCTGAGATCAGAATGCTGGCAGGATTGGCTTCTTCTGAGAACTCTTTTCTTGGCTTGCAGGTCACCCTCTTCTCATTCACCCTCTTCTCATTGCATCTCCACATAGGCTCTTCTCTGTTCATGCCTGTGTCCTTATCTCCTTTCCTTATAAGGGCACCAGTTGGTCGAGCACGGTGGCTCATGTCTGTAATCCCAGCACTTCAGGAGGCCGAGGCAGGCGGATCACAAGGTCAAGAGATCGAGACCATGGTGAAACTCTGTCTCTACTAAAAAATACAAAAATTAGCTGGGTGTGGTGATGTGCACCTGTAGTCCCAGCTACTCAGGAGGCTGAGGCAGGAGAATTGCTTGAACCCAGGAGGCGGAGGTTGCAGTGAACCAAGATCGCGCCACTGCACTCCAGCCTGGTGCCTGGCAACAGAGCAAGACTCTGTCTGAAAAAAAAAATAAATCAATAAGGACACCAGTCATGTTGGATTAAGGCCTACCCCAATGACTCATATAACCTTAATTACCTGTTTTAAAGACCATATCTTCAAATATAGTTATAGTCTAAGGTACTGGAGTCAGGATTGTTCAGCCCGTAATTCTAACCTGTTGGCCCTCCTAGTCTATTTGGAAAGAGACATGTGAAAAAATAATTATAATAAGAGATGATAAATGGTATAGAACATATATATATAAGGCAATATGGGAAGACAGATGATGTATCAACTAAACTGTGGCTTGTCTGATTGACAGGATATTCAATACATCTACAAGATGCTCTTCTCCCCTGAGTGATTGATGAGGAATAATTAATGAATACAATGCCAGTAATTTTGACTCTGAGGTAAAACCAGCATACAAGCCAACATTCTCTAGCCTCATTTGCTTGAGTGGTATTGCTCTAATCTACAACAAAAGGAAAGTCTTCTGGCTTCCTCGAACTGGAAGTCCTCCAGTGTGCCATCTGAAGCACTTAGCACCCTCCAATTCTTTGTTGGTGTTTTATATGATCAACAACAGAAACAAATCTTCCATTAAACCTCTGTGAGTGTGTCACTATGGTGACACTAAACAAAAGGAAATCAAAGTCCTCTAAATTTGAATAAACCAGATATGCAAAGACAGATACCAGTAATTATAAAAATTGAAGAACTGCATCCTGGACAAAGCTAAGCAAAGGAAACAGTCAAGGCAACAGTATCCCAGAGTAAAGCTTCAAGGCAGCTAAGGACATGATTTTCAGGGAGGTCTACACATCACTCAATCTCCACAGCCTCAAGTGGGAGAAAGCTTGCGGGTAGGCAAGTGGATGGGCTGGCCTGCCCATTATTTTCCTCTTTTCTCTTTCTTTACTCTCCTCCTACAATTTTTCTTCTAATACATACACAGATCAATCCAATCAGCTTCAAAATGAAAATACACATTACATATATATATATATATATTTTCTATTCTCAATTGTATCATTTATATTTCTAAAGTGAGGTAAAAATGCACTATTATTGTAGCATGTGTGAAATTTGATGTTTTGTGGCTTTTAACTCATCTCCACTCTCTCTGATAAAAGTTGTGACGGCCCAACTCAGAGAGAGATTAAACCCTGCGGGATTAATTATACTGGAAGGTAAGTGATACTGATCAATAAGACACGATTATAAAATAAAATAGTATGACAGATAATTCCGTTTTCTTTTGCAAATATGTAGTTATTTCAGATTTTTTTTTAATGGAGGAAGTGGTGTGTTTGTCCCTGATTTGTTAGAACGGAGCAAATATTAATATTGCAACAGATGCCAAATAGTGTAGATTAAAAAGCTTTGACATGGGTTGATATAATGTAGATCTTACATTTATGATGTAATTGTGAATTATGTACTTTATTCATTGGTAATTAGAGAGCAGAACAGATGGAGAAGGTTTAGCTTAAAGTGATGTGTCCATTAAAATAACCTGCACTGCCAAGTGTCTATTCATGTCCATGAGTATAGCAAATTTGTTCCATTAAAATATGATTAGAAGATAAGGACTTATTGTCATTTTGTTGGAGTCATCCATCTAACGATGAAAGCTAAAATACTCTGTAAATGTCAGATCCAACTAGTATCCTGTTTTGCTCTGCAGAGGGTCTTAACTAGACATTTTGGCTGCGGCAGAAATTCTAATATTGGCAACTCTGTTTTTCCATTATTTAGACATTACCATAAAGAAAATCAAAGCAGCCACCAAATGAAAATAACAATGTTGACTATTACTTTAAGTGTATTTCTTTTAGTTTATTGTTAAAAGGACAGATGGTAGCTATTTTTTTAATGTGAATATTGGATTTTTCTATTTCCACTAGCCATGTTTGCTTCTACCCCTCACATTATTTCCCCCAGCCTTTTTGGATGGCATCTAGAGGCTGCTTTTTCTTTCAGTTTTAATCTGCTTTCACTGGGCTAAAAAAAAAAAAAAACAACTGATATAGTACAGATTTCTCATATGCTCTACTGGAAGATAATGCTACGTTGAACGCACCACAATTGAGGGGAGAGGGGGGCAGGGCCTCTTCTGCTTTGCTGGTGGGGATGTAAATAGTGTGCTTTTCTGGAAAGGAATTTGGCAATATGTATCAGAAGCCTTAAGTAATTCATCACCAGAAATTCCAATCCTGTGAATCTATCCTATGGAAATGTTAAAAAATAGAGACGAATACACACCGGCCCAAGTGCAGCCCCGCCAAACACAAAACTTTTAAATGATCAAGTCATTCCATATAGAATAACTAATAACAGGAATAAACTAAACATCATATGGGGAGCTGGTTAAGAAAACTGTGGTATAGCTATGTCTTACTCTTGGGCAGAAATTTAAATTATAAATGTGAAGAATCGCTAATAACACAGGAAAATGTTTATATTATAAAGTGAAGTTGAAAAATAAAATATTAAAATACTAGTAAATAAAAGTCAATAATGCTGAGTGTTTTTAAAATATACCAGGTACTATCCTAAAAACTTTATTAAAAAATACTATATTGAGAGGCTGTGTCAGGCAGATCATGAGTCCAAGAGATCTGGACATGGTGAAACCCCATCTCTACCAAAAATACAAAAATTAGCTGGATGTGGTGGCACATGCTTGTAGTCCCAGCTACTCAGGAGGCTGAAGTAGGAGAATCGCTTGAACCTGGGAGACAGAGGTTGCAGTGAACCAAGATCGTACCATTGCACTCCAGCCTGGTGACAGAGCAAGACTATGTCTCAAAAAAAAGAAAGAAAAAAAAAGGAACTACCAAAATACATAAGCCACCAAGGTAAGTAGTTGTAGAGCTAGGAGGAGCTGGAATTCGAACTCAAGTACTCTGATTTCAGAGAAACTGCTTTTAATTTGTATGCGATACTCCCTCTTTATTAAGATAGCAACTATGTAAAAACAATACGAAACGGACACCCACATGCACAGCAGTGGGAAAAAAAATTATGCAGTTTTTTTCATCAAGAGCTGCAGTCTATTTCCCCACCCCAAAATCCAAGGTGGCCCTGTGACTTGCTTTGAAAATAAAATGCAGTGGAAGGAATTCTGTGACTTTCCAGGCTCTGCTTTAAGAGACTTTTTAGCTTCCACTTTCACATTCTTGGAATGCTGCCCTGAGATGGTCTACTCTACTAGGGGATGAGAGACCCTGTGGAGGAGAATTGAGGTGGTCTTGCCCCAGCCAGAACCAACTGCCAGACATGTGAGTGAGGCTATCCTGGGCCTTACATCTCAACCCAGCAGCTGAATGCAGTCACATGAGTGAGTCCAGGTGAAATGAACATAGAAAGTGCCAAGCCAACCCACATGATCATGAAAACTAATTATTCATTATTACTTTTCTTCTTTTAGACTTCAGAACCTGACATTTGCCATTCCTCTGGAAAAATTGGACTGTTTCCTCAGGTTTCCAAGACTAAGGTAAAAGTCTTTCTAAAAGAACTGACCCTTTTGACACATTGCTAGTGTGCCATTCCATGGTCCCTTAAACCTTCCTGGATTGGGTACAGTGTGAATGACTCAGAATTTTGTGAGCAGCCGTTGGGCAGTTAAATGGTAAGAGGAAGAATGTGCAGTCTGGATAACTGAAAAAAATGCCATGAATATTTCTCCCCACCAGCAGTAAGAAGTGCTGAGCCAACTCTCAGGATAAACATGAAGCTGGGGACCATTTCACATTGGACCACGTCTCTAATTACTGCCCCTGTCATTTTACTGTTGGTGCCTGTTCATATGAGAAGGAAGCTCCAATTCCTCAAGTGTATGCTCATGCTCTGGCATTTCTGCCTTGCTTATTGAGCCATAGAAGATCTGAAATTACAATCAGGGTGAGGCAACATAACTGTCAACAATTGAATTAGAAAGTGGGTATTTTACCAGAGAATTATAATGAAGATTAAAATGCCAAGCTGAAAGTCAATTGCCAGCCAAATGGCTTTTGTTCTGTTGATCACTTTCTCCTCCTGGAGAGCACCCCTGGCTTCCATAAGCACTTTGCATCACTTTCTTCCTTCTTTTCTGGCCCTTCTTTCTGAGTACCTATCAAAAATATTTTTAGTAATCATCCCAGAAATTTGGTTTCTATTCTTCTTACTCTACTTACTCCCCTTGAGGGATATAACCAACTTCTGTGGTTTTAATTACTGATAAGTTCCCAGCTTGCATCTTTGGCTCTTGAATTATATTCAACTATGTAGATACAGGTATCTGTATCTGGGTATTTCCCAAGCACCACCATCTTATCACGACCAAACAAAATTTATTTGTTTTTCTCCAAGATCCTCTTCTCCACCATGACTGATTGTCACTTAGCTTCTTTGCTTCTTTCTAAACCTTTACGTTGACATCTAATCAAATATTGTCCATTTGTTAGCCTTAATATTTCGGAGATCTGCATTAAGTCCATTCTCTGTAGCAGAGCACACATGGCTGTTCATGGTCTGGTCCCTGCTTATCTTTTCAGCCTTCCTCTTGCCCCTGTTATGTCCTGAGCTATTCTTATATCGAATGAATTTAAGACTGCAGTATGCCTCACACATTTCTGCATTTTTATGCATAGTACCCTCTATGAAGATTGCTCTTTCTTTCTGCTTTCCTCCAGCAAACACCTTCTCATCTTACAAAACTCAGGTTAGAGCAACTTGTCTGAAGAGGCTTCTCTGACCTACCTTCCCTCCAGCTGTGTAAATTAGGTATTTCTCCTTCCATGGTGCTTTATGCATGACTCTACCATTGCATTTATGATACTTATTGCAATAGACTCCATTTGTCTGTCTTGCCTAGAAGATCTGCCTATTTCCTGACAGCAGGCACTGTGTGTTTCTATCTATGCAACTCTATTATTTCATTTACTACTTGGCTCCTAGTAAGTGCACATAGAAGACATTGTGGAATGGATAAATGTGATGTAACCAATCCACAGAGATCTCTCCATTAATGATTCAGCAGAGAGAGGTGGTAGCTCACAACCTTTGAGAGGATCGGTTGTGATAGATAAATCATAAAGAGTTAAAATATAAGATTGAGTGACTCAAGATGCCCAAATTTGGGGCTGGCCATGTTTCAGCATAGGGTAATAGCTTGTGTCCAAACCAGGAAGCTTAGCCAGTCAACTACATGCCTATGATCTTGTTAATCACATTCCCAGATAGGACAAAGGGATCCTACCTTAGCCCCTGGTTATGGGGTCAGGTGTCTCACTCCTTGCAACTTGCTGGTCTTGCAACCCCCATGGCAATACCTACCACTTGCCACACAGACTGTTATAATTTCAGACCAAGAGAACTATCTCCTCTCTGAGCTCTGGCAGTCATCATTTGAATCTAAGAGAACCTACTGGTCTCTACTTTTCCTGAGATCTCAGAATTCCCAGATTTATACGCTGAGAAAAATATGCATATAAAATTATTCCTTTAAGGCATACTAAATCCTCTCACATGTGGTATTTGCCTCTTCACATTACAAACTCCCTTCTGCCAAAGTTCTGGCAAAAGCCATTCAAGCTGCAGAGCTTTTCTTCTCTCAGCTGTCAGTGCCATGTCATGGCCACACTTAACGAAAAAAGAATACATATGTTTGCAGGCTGCATCTGTCTCTAGGATATAGCTCTGTATTTTTTTCTGCCAAAGCCATTTACATTGATTTAAATCACCAAACCATCAGTCTATACTGCCTCGGTAGCCAAGTACTAACATAGGTGGTAAAAGGCTTAAATATAAGTAAGACGCACAATCCTGATGGATCTTAGAATCTCCAAAGGGGTAGAAAACACACTAACTATACAGTAAGTAATGAAGTAAGAGAGTGTTTACACACCACAAATTGCTTGAGTGTTTACGGGTCAGGCCTTACCTAAGACACGTTTGATTTAATCCTTATAACCATTCTGTGAGGTAAAGTC